ATATATATATAGTTTGACTTTCTATAAGAAAGATTAGTATGTAGCATTTCCCAAAATTATTTGTCAATGGATTGTTTTTTTCCTAGAATATTTTATGAAGCTGGTGCTCACTCCCAGGACATATTTTGCAAAACCCAACTGGACAAATAACTCTGGGGGAAAGTATTAAGATAATGAATGGTTAAGAACAGAGGTTCTAAAATTCTCAAAGAACACAAAGCCACTCACTTACTCATTAAATAAATTTACACTGATATTTAAAACAAACGAAGGAACATCATCAGTTGAGTGAGACAAAACAAGCAACACACTAGTTAGCAGAAACTTAAGTGCCAAAATCCTATAAATTTCAGTCATTATAGTAAAAATTTTCCTGAAATATGTACCTTTTGACTTCTCAAACAATTATTTTAAACATTTTCTTGATAATATAGCAGTATGAACTTGAATATTATATTTGTATTTTTATAATAACATATTGATGCCCTCAGGACTTTAAGGTGTTTGACCCTCTATTAAGTTTCCCTCAGCTTCTATTTCACACTTTAACCTTGCCTATATCATGCTGTTCAAGTTTTTTATCTATAGAACTGAAGGATGCCAGGAGGAACTGGATAATGAAATCAATTAAGTCAGTAACTTAATTTTACACAATTCTAATTTGGTAGGTTCAAGGTAAAAAACAGTTGGCTCTCATGTCTTAGAAAACAAAACTCATAAGGTTAATGATAACTAATTCCTTCTACTTTTAGGTTTATTAAAAGTTAGTGAAAGGCTTTTAAGTGCCAAAAAGACAACTCACATTTACTGAACTTCTTTTCTTGCCAGGAATTTAAGATAGCCTATCTTGTATATACCTTGTAACAATTTTGAGATAAGGTATTTATTATTACCCCCTGCCAAAAAAAAACAGATTGGAAAAGAACCTTTAAAAAAACAACTTTCTCATCGTCACATAACCAATAGGGGGTAAAAAAAAAACAAAAACAAAAACAGCCCTAGTGTAAGTGTGACTTTAAAGTCTTGATTTTTCAACCATTTCACATTGTTTCCTAAAACGGTGCTTCTAAAATATATTTCATGTTAAAATCATCTTGGATGACTGTAAAAATACAGAAACTTAAGGGATGCATGCACATTTTTGTTCTCTGCAGCATTATATATAATACCTAAGTTATAGAAACAACCGCAGTGTCCAAAGACAGACACATGAATGAGGAATATGTGGTAAAAACAAAGAATCAGACAAAGCCAAATCTGTAACTAAACTTAGAAATCTGACTATAGAACTGAGGCTACTAGAGCGGCAGGAAAAGCAAAATGGGGAGGGGGCAGAATGGGCTATGGTAGAGGATTATGGGTACCTTGTTGTGGGTATGATGTCATAACACTTACCTGAAGAGGTATGTTCATATTCTTCTAAAAATGAATATGATCATAAAGTGTTGTGAACCTATATTATCTCAATAATACACAGTCCAAAAAAATTTATAATCATTAAACAGTCCTTATGTTCATGAAATCAACTGTGAAGGAGTATGCAGAAACTTGCTATAGAGGAATGTCTGAGGGTGGTTTCAGGAAATCAAAATTTTAGCAAGTACCCCAGGTAATTTTGATGCACACTAGTGTATGAAAAAGAAATACTTTTCTAGAACATGCAAATTCTGAAGTCACAGCATACAAAATAAAACATTATCCCACATTTCCTCCTGTAATTTGGGTCAAGCCTTCTCAGCATGCCATGTGGGCTTCTCCACTGCTGCCAATTAAATATCCACGATGGGCTACGTTTTAAATCCTGCTCTTTACTTGCTTTACAGCTCTTGCTAGACAATCTCACCCAAAACCAACCACCAAATTCCTGTCAATATGCTTGGTGCTCATAATTCTCTATTTTTAGTCCAGCTTCAGAATTATATGCCCAAATCTTCATCTGTTCACTATGCATGTTTTATCTCGAGTGTCCCATAGGCATGATGAATATAGCATGTCCACAGGGAGGTCATCTTGTCCTACTCCCCCAACACCTGTGCTTTGTCCCCCACTTGATTGAATGGGCACCTCCATTAACTCATGTCCCAGGCCAGAAAGCTGAGCATCATTCTTTAGTTCTCCCTTTCCTTCACCAATTGTCTCCGTGTTCTCAACTCCACCACCACCACCTACCAAAATCCAGTCTTTCTTGGTTTTTCTAGTAAATGTGGTGACTTTTCCCTTCTACATTGGCTCTCAGATAATATACCAAAACACCGCAACTCTCCTTTTTTTAAACATAGAGTACATATAGTAACTAAATAATTCCAAGTCCTCTAGCAATCCTATAAGCTGTGTGCATTTGTTACCTGAGGATACCCAACATCCAAGTATTTTTGCTGTTTTAGTCCTGAGCTTGTTGGAGGGCAGAACTGAGCTTACAACCACAAAAGCTAAAAGGAAAAGGACTCTTCCTATCCCAGATCAGGCAAGCAGATGCTCCAGCTTGGGATCTAAACTGAACCAACTGAAGAATCAGGAGGCCAGTCCACAATTCATCCTCATGGTAGCGCCAGCACGGTGTCCAGTTAGACCATCCTGAGGCATGAATCTGGCTGATGGTCTAGCTACCTTCCCTGGGCCTGTGGTTCTGTCTGATTATTAAGTCATTGTTTAGACTTCCCATTAGTTCTGTCTGAATGCCCCAATCATCCAAATCATTTCCTTTTCTATATAAAGTTGATTTCTGTTGTCTATACCAAGAATGTTAATTTGTTGCCAGAAAGAAAAAGAAAAATACTGGATGGTTTTCTTATAGGAGGAATGTAGGGGATTCAATAAGGGATAAGGAGAAGTAATTATAACAAAGTAAAAACCAAAGCCAACAGGCAACTATAAACCAGAGACATTCTTGGGGGGAGGAAATTGGATCAACAGAGCTGGGAAGAGCACAAAGAACTATGGGGATGGTCCACAGGTGAATTTGTGGTGGAATTTCTTGGGGACCATGCACAAGATGATAAAATATACATTGTATGAAAATGAAGAATGATCCAAAAACCATATAAAATTTTAAAACACAAATAAATATAAATAAAGGCATGTCAGAGATTTTTTTTTAATGCTAATTTGGTACAAGTTGCTACCAAACAGAAAGATATGCAGTGTTTGAAAATGTTTAATATTGTCTGTCATTTCTATTTAAGATTCTCTCCCCCTCAGTAAATAATTCATGCTACCTCTGTAAGTATTAATATTCATTAGCTGGGGAAGTGATAATATGGTCTGCAAATACTAAACTTTTCTTTACTCTATCAAATTGACCAGTCAATTGTTCCAGGTTGTCAGTTTTATATACACCAATATTTCCCATTTATTTCCACAGCTCCCAGAAATATAGCCATGTTTGAGTCATTCTCTGATGTTTGAGTTATTCTGTGAGGAAATATCAAATTATTACTACTTTAAATGAAAAACAGCACATACTTCATGTATTTGTTACTGCAGGGCCCTAAATGACTGTGTCATAAACGCCAGCATTATTTGAGTCCAAAGGGAAACACATAATAAGAATTAAAAGTTGGGCTCAGATAGTCTGGTGGCAAGAAATTTTAGATATTCCCCAAACTATTTTTCCTTAAATATACATTGCAAACATAAAAATCAAGTGTTTTTTATTTTTTGTTACATATTCCAACATGACTAAAAAAACAAGGCAGTATGACGAGCATAGAAATGGAGAATAAATTACAAGCATATTTGTAGAATGGAAATTTAATGTCCTGTTTCTTCTTTGGGGCTAAACTTACTGTTTTCTTCTACAACTGAAATTCAGGTAATAACTACAATATGGTCTATTCGACCTTCAGAGCACATAGCTATTGTTAAGATAAACATTGCACAGAAGATTTCTTACTATCCCATATATATTATCCTTTGAGATCATCCTGCAACTGGATCAGGAGAAAAGTAAGTTTTTAATGGCTCTTTACTGTTATTAAACAACAGAACTTCCAAGTACACTCTTTAATAGTATTTAAAATATTAAAAAAGAACTATGATGCTATTTCAACATCAGAAGCTCACTAAATAGTTTTCATCCAAACTGAAGAGTTATGTATCCCTGTCCATGGAGAAGTTGCAAGGAATGTGAGAGAAAAGAGAGTCAATTTTAATAAAAACTTTATTTCCCTTGCTAACCTGAACATTTTGTTATATTAACTTATCTGTGCTAAGCCCAATTTCTACTGACTTTTATTATATATGGAAAAGATATTATAGTGAAAATATTACAACCACATGCACTAAATAACTTTTAATACTCGTTTAGAAAGACTTGTTAGCACCCAGGTTTCCTGCAGTTGTCACATACAATGGCACTAGGGTGGCATAGGTTATAGGGGGTGGGCTGCAAAAACCTGTAAGTGGAAAGTTGAACGATACTGCAAACACCCTCCTCCACCAAAAGTGCAAAGGGATAAAGTTCAGAATGTTAATTCAAGATCATATGGAGGTTAAACAGAAAAAGAAAAACCTTGAGTATAAAACAGCTTCTGAAATGGGCAATCACTTCAGTCATGTTGGAGGGGTGATAGCAACCAATTTGTGGAAAAAGCATGGCTCTGGAGTCAGAGAGGTCTGCATTAAATCCTGGCCCTGCCTCTCAACAGCCCTTTGATGATCTCTCTTGCCTACGCTGTTTCAACATCCTCCTAAATGATCCTGTTGACCTAGTCTCTATCCATTCCAATTCATCTTAGACAATATTATTACCACAGTAACTACCTAAAAACTGAATCCGATCAAAAAGCTGTAACTTTAATGGCCATATTAGGATAAAATCTTTAGCAAGAGCCTTGGTCTCATAAGACTTTTATCACTCTGATCGTAATTCACTTCTTTAGCCTGATGTGCACCCTTCTCTCTCTCAAGAATGTTTGACTTGATTCCAACTTTGATGTCCTCAAGGCATTTTCACAATTCAGAATCCCTAAATGTCCACTATTCCCTTTTTCATTGACAGATTCCTACTCATTTTTTTATTTGAACCTATAATTTTATTTCAGCTTTAAAAACTTTTCTTTATTGAGATAATGTTGATCTACAATATTGTATATAATTTAAGGTAAGTATAGATTCACACCTTGTCAGATGTATTTCACCTCCAAGGCATCCATCTCCAAGACACCCATAATCCACTATCATAGTCCACTGTACCTCCTCCCTCCTCTTCCTTTTCCCTCCCACCTGTAGCTTTAATTCTGCAATTATGTTTCAAAGGGTTTTTTGTTGTTGTTTATTTTTGTCTATACCTTTATTACTTTATGTCCCACATATGAGTGAAATCATCCTGTATTTGTCTTTCTCCTTTTGACTTATTTCCTTGGCCTAATTCCCTCCAATTCTATCCACATTATCAGGAATTTAGTGTTTCACTATGAATATGCAGTGCTTCTTAATCCACTCATCTGTCCTTAGATACTTAAGTTTTAGCTTGTCTATTGTAAATAGCATAGCAATGATGAAAAACTCCTCTTCATTCTTTATGGCCCAATGAGGGGTCCTTTCCACTTGGAGTTTTTCCTAAATCCCCTAGGAAATTGTGGTCCAAAGATATTCTAAGTGATGTTCTAGTCTGCATTGAAATTATCAGTTTACCTGCCCAGCCACTACCTAGGATTCCCTGACTTCCTCTTTTTGATATATTCAACTCAAACTGCGGTACCTCTAAGGCGTGATTATTTCTGTATCCCCAGTGCCTAATATCCACCAAGTATCCAATAAATGTTTATCAAATAAAAAAGTGAATAAATGAGTGAGTGTATGAAAGATTGCCTTAATCATTCAGTCTGAGCAACTCAGACTTAAGATGTTTGATGAATGAGATTTGTGACAATGAAAGGAAGAGGAAGGAGATAAAAGGATGGATATGATTTCATAAAGCAATAAAATATGTACTCTCTCTCTATATATATTACTTAAGGACCCCAAATGGCCATGAATAATAAATACACATAATATTTATGGGTACAAAGGTAAGTGCATTATTTACCCTAGAGACTAAAACTACTCTTTCTAAGCCATTACTATCTTGATGGGTCAATATGTTTTTTGGCATACACAATAAGGTAGAAAATGTGACCTATGTATCTGTCAAATAGTAACAAAGTACAATTTAACCTAGTAAGTGGTATCAACTCCTTCTGTGCCTCTATAATCCATTTATCTAAATCCTACTTAGTTGAAGAATTATAGTTCTCATCTATCTAAATAGCTCTTTCCAAAGTTTAGGTAAATGGCTCACACATACTGTACAAATAAGGCATCTGATTTCATAAAGAAAATGAAATTTTCATTTAACACCTACATTATCCTTAAGAAAAACACAAAGGAAGGAAATTAAGATTATGCCAAACAAGCAATTAAAAATTGTCTGATAAGACCAACCCCCTAAGAATTCCAAAAAGGAAAAGAACTGGCTGAGAATTCTACAGGAAACAGGCAAAAGAGAAAAAATAAATAAAACAAGGGAAAAAAAACACTAAAAATAGATCTAAAATCTCAAAGGATACAGGAGGCATCACAGTAAGAGACAAGGAAGAATTTAAGGAAATACAAACCAGATTTTCAAATATCCATAACAAAAGAGAATGCTACAATAGCAATTTTTAAAGAGCACAGATAGGTTATGAATCAAAGTAGTTAAATACAGTATAAAAAGATGTTATGACCATAAAAGTTCATCAAATGATAGAAATGGGAATTTAACTAATATAAAGAAAAACTAAGTAGAATTTATTCACAGAACATTAGCTTTTGAAATAAATGCAAATACTCCTTAGGTTTTGGGAAAATTCTTTTTGCTTTCTGACCTACCAGTTAGTGCATATCATTTACAATTAGGAATGGAGAAAAGACATTGACCCTTTCTTTATCACTCTTAAAAGAAATTAGAAATGAGAAGACTGCTTAAGTCAAGTCAAAAGATGATGTCAAATGAAACAAATATCAAAAAAAAAAAACACTGATAGGAAACAGTGAAATAAAAAGATTATTGTTTATAAAAACAGTTGATAGTGATATTGAACTTTTATGTCTTGTTTCTCCTCTAAGTGTCCCTGCTAGGGATGAAAGTTAACTTATTTCTATAGAACCCACACTATGAGAGTTTTGATCTATTTTTCCTAGGAAAAAGCAAAAATAGAAACCCTATGTTTTTTAAATTTCAGTCTTTTCTGACTTTATTTTTTCATATAATGAACTTAAAATTATATGAACTATAACGAGTAGATTTATTAATTAGCAAGTAAAATTACAAAATGTATATTATTATTTGAAAACTAATAATCAGAGCAAAGAGCACAGACTCTAGCCATATTGCCCAGATTCAAATCCCCAGTGTCCACTACCAACCCTGGAACTTGGGACTTGTTGAAAAGCTTAGCTCTCTGTCCTCACTTTCCTATAGTAAAATGAATGGGGCTAATGATAGTACCAACCTCAGAATTGTAGTGAGTTAGATGAGTTTATGTAACTTAAAGGCTTAGAGGTAACTATGGTGCTTAGAACAGTAACCTTTAGTAGGAATTTATTGCTATTACTTAAATCTGTAAAAGAAGCTCAGAGAGGTGTTGCATATATTTAAGTTCATCTAAAATTTGCTTTTAAAATACTTGGAAAAAGGTATCTTTCCTTCCTTTCAGAATGCTCACAATCCTAATGGACTTAACCTTTCTGGAAATTTTACAACTATAGCCTGGATGATAAATATTTCTGAAGGTGAGAGGCCACAGAAATGAAAGTTATTTTACTTTTTTAATTCAAAGAAACACAATTATATTAACTTTTAGGGTATTCTGGAATTCAGCGCATTTGCCAAATAAGGAAATAATTATAGCTGAGGACAATAATAATCAAAATTCTCACTTATTTCTTTTACTTTGTCTTCCGTTTACCCTGTACCAATATTAAGGGGATGTGGAAATGAACCCACCCCCCCCCAGCCCTCATGCAAAAGTAGTTAATATAATGGAATAACAATACTACCTTTGTCACTTCCATAATAATAGAACACTGTTTTACTGAGCGCACACCACCGTTTCTGCCATTCAAATCCCAGAAAGCTGTGATCTACAAAAAAAAAAAGGTGGGGAGAGGACAATTTATATATTAATAAATATCACAGATGTCATGGTAAGGCCATTTCTTTATTCTAAAAGGAAAAGTTAGTTAATATGATCTCTAAACTCTAAAAGTCTATGACAGATTGTTATCTTTCTTTCCAAGAGACAAAAAAAGAACAAAAAAATAGAACAGATAAAATACAATGCTAAAAGAAAGAATGTGAAGAAGAGATGAGGCTGCTACATTTATGGGCTCAACTACATGGCTAAAAGACTTTCCTGACAGGACAGCCAAAAAGGTACTGATGACAGAGTCTTGAGATAATTGCTTCATTTTCTCATCTGTTATAAAAACAGGGGAGGAGCTGACCTAGATGATTTCTATTATATCTTTCAGCCTTGAGATTCAGCTAAGAAAGCTACGAAAAGCAAACAGAATATAAATAGAAAGGCCCAAAGGGACTGTCTGTGAGATAAGTAGAATGCTAATAAGTAGAAAAGATTTTGCTTTCCATTTCCCATATCACAGCACCACCTCCATATTTCATTGTCCTTAAACACTGGTGTTGAAAAAGTAAGACCATATGGTCAACTCCCAATTATCATAGCCAATGGAGGGGAACAATGAATGAAAAAATAGAAAATGGCAGACAATATGCTAGGCTCAACCTGCATCAGGGGCAAGCCAACCTAACCTGATGCTCAGCTAGGTGGGATAATGGTGAAAAACCCCACCCTGGAAAATAGTCATGGCTCATGTCTTACAAGGGGCAGGAACAACTCCTGGATCATTTACAAATAACTGAGATTGTTAATTAAAGACTGAACCAAATGTTTTGTTATTAAAAAATATTTAGCAGTAAAGGTATATTTTGTGATTTGCACAAAGTCATCCAGATTTTCTTAAAAGTCTTAAAATTCTTTGATTATCTAAAAAGAACACTGGCTCTGCATGTGTACACTAAACATGTTGTATGTAATGATAAAACCACTTTTAGATTTTTTTCCTTAGGAGCTTATGGCTTACCTTTTCTGCGTTTTTCAAGGTAGCCTGCCTTTAAGACAAAAGAAAGGTCCTGTGCTGCAACTGGAGGAAACTGGTTTCCTGTGGCAGAAGAAAAAACAAACAAAACAGTGAGTAACCCATTTTTAGAAAACAAATGCCAGATCTCAATTAGTTCACTGTACTTTTTATTACCCAAGTCACGCAAACACAAGTCCATTAGATTTGTTTCAAATCCATTCCACAGACAAGTCTCTATCCTCCTCTCTACATCTCAAGTACAACAAAAAGTTCTGTATTCCTATATCTTAATGTAGAACACTTCCAAAATAAAGCAGTATTATGTAAACATATGAGCTCTAAGATACAATACTTTTCATCAACATTCTATAAGGACTGAGAAGTTATTGTAAATAAATGCAACAAATCTGAAAAGAATTCAGAAATTTCAAATAAATTATATAAACTTCTTTACATTTATACTGAATTAACTCTTCAAGGTTTTCAATGTATATTAATTTTTACCTACTTATTTCTGTTCCAAGTAAAGCATAAAATTATTTTCCTGCAATATCAACTGTAAAATTTCTCTGAGTCTGGAAAGTATTTGTTTCCCAATTATACTAGCTGGGAAACCTTACAGGAATTCAACTGAATGAGTATGCTGTGTTCTTCTAGGGTAGTTGAGATAGATGCTTTGTATACATCTGATAAAACTATCATGAACAAATATTAGGTACCTACAAAATCTTTATAGAGTAAGCTAAAAGTTAAACTAATTAGCAATTACATATTAATTGTCAAGAATAGTGTTTCTACAACTGTTCAATATTTTTATGTTTCATTAGAAATACATTAATAGCTATCTTTAGTATTCTGCTATCTTCAGTATTCTAACAAGTGAAAACAATCTGATGTAAGTTTCCATGGAATCCACACAACAGAAAAATTCAATATAGTTTCAAAAAGCATTTTCATAGGAATTTTATTATATATAAATTCATCACAGAAATGCCAACTGGGCTTTTTAAAAAACAAATTCATCACAGAAATGCCAACATGAGGATCTTAGTAGTTATGAAAATATAGATATTTTTCCTTAATAAAACTTAGAACCAAAGCATTAATTTTAGTTCTCTGTTAGATTAATTTTACTAAGTAAACACATAACAATATAATTACAATACTGAAATGGATATGAAATTTTAGAGAAAGTATAAATATTTGAATAATCCAATAAACATTTTTTCATAATAAAGTTGGCCCACACAAAAGTAGTAATTTACTTAATATTATGTTTATAAAATAAAAATCACACAAATATTATCTATATGTACAAACTCTACAATTATTAAATTATAGAGTATGACTATATGACTTGTTTTAAAAAGAGATGACATACACTATGCTATTACCTGAGGTTATGCAGACAAAATTAAGCATAAATGTATTATCACACATAAATATGAAATTCTAGCTAATGTAAAGTCATTTAGGAATTTTTTTCTTTTTAAATAAGATCCCTACTAATAAAATATCTATTTCTCCAACTAAGTAAGACCATACTTTTATTTCTGTGGAAGTCTATTGGTGCTCAGGTTTTTATATCACTGCCACAGAGAGCTCTTAAATCAACCACACAAAATCTCTTTGCCAGACATAGCGTATAGATTACATTTCAGAATGAGAATGAAAACATATTGTATATTTTAATATAATTACTAATACCATGAAGAAAATCACAAGTAGTTTTTCCATAGTATAAAGTATAAAATAAAAAATACTCACTACAAATATCCCATAAGTAATTTTGTATATTTAAGATGATGGAAATAAACACTTAAACACCATAGGATTAAAATACAGATGGAAGAGGCAACTTTTCAATCTTAAGGTCGGATGTGCTGGATATGGAGAGGCATAAATTACTTTCATGCTTAGATAAGGCTCGCTGCGAAATAGTTCCATGACCCTCTCACTTCACTAAAACATAATTAATGTTCTTTACATGTAATAAAAATGCTCTAAATCTTAAGAAGAAACTTTTAAATTACTCTGAAGAAAGATGGATACTTTATCAACTTTAAAATGGGTATCATTCAACACTGAAATCTTACTAGTTAAAAAAAGTGGCAAGAAAGGAGGAATACACACAAATCCTAAAGCTACTGCTTTAAGAAAAATACAGATTGTTTTCACTTGATGATAAATCACAAGATCTGATGTCATAATCAGCATTTATGCTGAATTCTAAATCCTATTACTATTACTATTATTAAATCCTTTATTTCATATCTAGAAGAAAAAAACAAGTTTTTGGTGAAATTCCTAGTTTTTTCTGTCTTCTTTGTTATCTGTCCAATCTTCAGGATTTAATAGACATTTTTGAATTTTTTAAAAAACAAAAAGCATTTTAGTTGTATTCCCTTTAGATACTTTAAACTTTATATTCTTAGAACAACCATTTCATGTATATAACATAATAAATCAAATATTTTTAATGACATAAAATTAAAAATTTGTTCTATAATAAAATAGTAGTAATGCTTTAGAAAAACACATGCAGTCTTGCAAAAGTTAGACCTCAAATTACTGTACCTACAAAAATCAACAGTATGTCACCATTTAAAAATATTCAGATTAATTCAAATAAATAAGAGTATACAAATGCAGGTTTAATGATATACTTGATGAAAATGAAGACTAATATAAACCTAACTGCAGGGAAACAAAGAGCTGCCAAACATTTATCAAAAACCACAATTGCATTGTCTCACCATGGGAAATTATTAGACACAGACAAATTATATAACATTCCAACAAATTCACACTATCAGCTGTTTCATTATCAAAATTCACATTCTCATCCCCAAAATAGGTTTAATACTTACCCAAGTAGTAGGCATTCATAAACACTAGCTTTTATTAATTATGATTAAATGTTATATGTTCATATAATTATTCATTCAAATGAATAGATTCCAATATAAAAGTAAGACTAATGTGACTTAGAGATTTTTAATCAGAAAGATGGAATAAAAACATGACTGGGTATCCATAAAGTTAAGCTGCATTGTAGTTAGTGTTGATGATAATGTAGTTTAAAAGCAATTCAAAAATTTCCTTTTGGTTAGGGGAAAGTGGCTGATGATAAAATTATATTCCAACTATGGGTAAAAAAAAATTAACCAATAAATAACCTACTTATACTGTAGATAATGACTCCATGGCCTTGCTTACATGGCCATAAGTTTCTGGTACCCTGAGGAAATAAGCCTACTAACAAGGACTAGTTTTCTTTTTATTAAATGAACATTATTCTCATGTGATAGTCTACGTTTCCTAAAGTAGTTGAAAACATTAGACATGAAAACTACCACCCTATAAGAGCAGTCTTGGAATGATTCTTCCAACCTGCAATTTAAGCATCTGAAGCATGCAGAAAGGTAAACAAGATCACAATGAATCAAATAAACAAGTTATGAAGTATTTACTATATTCCCAGCAACTCAGTGGGCAAAGACAGTAGAGGAATTCAAATTTTCTTACAGTTAGGCTGATATGTATTCATAAAGCTATTGCTTTTAAAAGGAAAGTTAAGAGTTCTACAATATGTCTTGAAATCTTTGCCTTAAAAACAAATTCTGTATGTAGTGGACATATTTCACTGGACCATGCTAATGGAATGGATTCTAGAATCTGAAAAATGGAGATTTCCAAAGGATGAAAATCAAAAATAATAGATCATAAAACTAAGTTACTGCCCAGTCCTCAGATTTTTTTTTTTAACTCAACTATTATCTTTTCCCCCTTGAACTTAAGATGAAAATAGCAGAAATTCTTTAATGTGTTTTATGTAAGAAATGCTTTCTCTTTTTGAAAATTTAACTATTAAAACAATTATTTCAAAATGGAAAATAACTCAAGTTCAAAGAAAACTATGAACTCTCTTTGGCAGGACATATCATTTAGGCATATTTCAGATGTTATGTTAGTTGGTTACAAAACCAGTTCTGGCATTAGTTAGGAAGACAACTGTTTACTATATATATATTATAGGATAGGGCAAGGTGGAAATATAAGTCTGAATCACAGAATGCTTGGAAGAAAGAACTATAACAATATGGAGGTGTTTTGAATATGATAAAAGTAAGGGCAGAGAAGAGACAGAAAAATATGAGTTGTAAGAAGAAAGAGCTACAACTAAAGGGAGAGATCTAATCATCCTTTTCCTTTTGTAACACTTTTCTCAAAAACAACCTAACTTAAGTCATCTAACTGCATTGAACTCACAATTTTGTGTAGCATTGGGATTCTTCAATATACTATTCTTGGGCATTCTTCAACACTGACCTATTTCCTAATCTACTCTTACCCACAGACACACACGTATTAAAATTATCCCAGTATGACATCCCTTTAAATTAGCATTTATTTTCCTAAGATTTGTTGTAAGACATTATCCTTCCCAAGAGCAACTCAAGTAAAGAGGATTTATTTTTTAAACTCTATATACATTCAAACTACTAACTTCTGGGGTTGACTTTTTATTCAGTTTCCTTTTTACCTACTTGATCCTTCACAAGGGACTATGAATAGATGTCAAGGGATGTGAGTGATACAGAGACAGTTTCAAAAAGGACATCTGTTTTTCATTATCCATTTTATTTTTTGATATTCAACTCTGCTGGCCAATTTTAAATGTTAAGACTTGTAAGAATGCTAAATCCTCATTTTTACTATTTTATCACTAATAAATTATTACAGTATAATGGACTAACACTGTATTAGTATGTTCAGTTTTATGGTTGTTGAATCTAGACTTTGTACAAAACTCCTGTTGGCTTGTAAGTCTTACCTTTTTCGGGTTTCAATTTACTCACTTTTTACTGACATTCTCCTTTTATCACTTGGCACTTACAGTTTTCAACATGAATAGTATGTTGAAATAATATAGTTTTTCCCTCTAACCTTTACATAACTGAAAATTATTTTTCCCTTCTATTAGAAGAGAAAATAGTCATATAAAAAAGACTATTTTTCTAATAAGAATTTTCACTCTGAGTTAGGATCTTGGTCTAGTCAATCAAATATTTTGCCTG